CCTTTGGCCCTGCACCTTGGCTGTTCTTCCCGTGCCCCAGCAGCGGGATGGAGGTGGGAGGGGATCCTGGTCCCTGTGCTGGGATGCATGGCTGCTTCCTGCTCTGGTTGCTGCAGGGTATGGGGCAGTGATGGCACAGAGACCTTGACCTTGGAGGCCACAGAAGGGGGATTCTGAACACCCAAGCACGGATGCTCCTCAGCAGAGCTACTTGGGGGTGCTCTGCTAGGAGCAGGTGTTGTTGATTTGCTTTGTATTAACATCAGGAAGGGAAGGGTCAGGAGCATAAATCCATGGCCATTCAAAAGCGCTTGTGCTCTAATATCACCTGGGTGTTGTAGGTCAAGGCCATGGTCACCGATGGAGAACTGATGAACCTCTCTTGGAGAGCAGGCTGGGGGGTGTGTGCAGATAAGGGATGATGCAGGGTACCAGGGGTCTGTCGGTGATACCTGCCAGTGGCTCACTGTCACAAGCCATCTGATGCCATCAGAGCATCTTTGTGCTAGGGACTGGAGAGAGGTGTCATAAACCCCAAGTCTCTGCCTGAAAGACAAGCAAAGCAAGCCTCTTGGTACCCTTTGCACGGTGGGGTCTGGGCTGGGTGACTCCCTGAAGCCCCTTCAGGAGCCCAGGTCTGATGGGAACCATCCCCTGCACTGCCACATCCCATCCTGTCTCTTTCCTGAGTGCTGAGATGCTCAGGTTTGAGAGGTCCTCCTGCAATAACTGCAAGGGCTCTGATGACAGTATCTGCAATGCACAGCGCCGGGGTCACTCTTCACTCTATCAGGTTCCTGTTTGCATTTGACTCTATCTTGTCGTTTTGCTATTTCCACTTTCATTCAGTTTCTCTTGTGCTGGAAAGCACTAAAAAAAAACCCAAATCCCAACTTTAATAAGGCGAAAGCAGATTAAATTCCCTTTACAGCTATTTTTCAAGGAGAGTTTTGTTTGTCAAGACATTGTGCCTGAGGGGGACTCCATCAGAAACTGCAACTCCTGAACATGGGTGAATTAAGCAGCCTCTGTCCCTCCCTTTGGCAGAGCACACTGGAGCCGCTGCCTGGTTTAGAGGGCTGCATTCAGTGCTGCCTTGTTAATCACTAGCAGGTCTGTGTTCTAATTGCTAACCTGGGGAAGTCTGCCTTGGTCAAGGCAGTGGCTCACTTGGATTTCCTCCATTTACCTCCTGTCTTCTCCTGGGATAATCTCATAAAGACTATAAAGAATATGATTGTTAAACTCCACCACGTTCCTCGATACATCCCCCACCTCGGGTTTTCCTCTCTTCTGCAGCACTCATGCAGGTGCATCTCTGCAAGCGTTCATGTGTGCCTATAGGTTCCCTCATGGCCATGGGTTCACAGGAGCACCTCAAGCCCCGTTTTGCTCTTGCCCCAGCTGCTAAACGCGTGCCTGTGCACACACATGTGCACGTCTGTGCTTTTAGGGGGGCCCCAGTGCTCATTAGTCCATCGTTTTGCAGCATCGTGGACATGACTTTCATCGCAATTATCATCTCAGCCTTTGTAATTCTCCATACCTTCTGCACAGCCCTGCTGCAAGCGAGCTGCCTGGTTTATTGCTTGTAACAAGGCTGTCGCTTCAAATCCTCTCTCAGACCATTATCTCCCTTTGATGCTTTTGAAGAGCCAGCGATATGTTAATTCTACCTTGGCCTTCTCTCTCTACAAACCCTCCCTCGCCAGCCTGGCTGGCTGCCGGGGTGCTTGCAGGGGAGCTGGGGCTCTGCCTGCTCTGTCCCCTGCCTTTTTGGGGAGCTGCATGTAAGGCTGGGACCGTCCCCTGTCGCTGTACCTGTGCTGGGGGAGCGTGTCCTCTTTGCTTTGGGAGATTTGGGGTGGATGAAGGACAGGCTGGTGCGACAGCAAAGCCTGCAAGGACAGATGGAGACCTGAAAGGTGGTGTCCATCTCCTGCTTGGCCCTGATAGACAGCACCAGATTGTAGGTCCTGGACAGCCCTGCCTCTTGGCAGGGAACAGGCAGGGCAGGCAGCGCATCCCCTACCCCGCATCCAACCCATACCCAGCTCCTTTGCTTAGGGATCCCACATCTCTCATGGGGATGCCAGCAAAGGGGGCTGGATCCAGGTACCTGGGAGAGTGTTTGTACCAGGGCACCCCGGTGTGCGCTGCAGGGCGTGCAAACCAGCCCAAATTGCTTCCAGAATATTCTTGATTCCATTCCACAGCACTTTGGGGTTCAGACAAGCTCATCGCCGGTTTGACGGGGGGTGGTTGTGTGCGGTGGGGATGTAATTTATGGACTTTGTGATAAGCCTGTCCAGTCATCCTAAAATAATAAATAAAATACATACCAAGGGCTGGCAGGAGATAGGATCAGTAATATCAGGGTCTGAGGAAAATTACTGAGCCTCTTCAACAGCAAAAGGAAGAGTATGGAGGAAAAAACCCAAAGGTGCACAAGGACAAAGTCAAGAGCATCCTCTCCTACCACAGACTGAGTTGGGGCCCTTTGGGGACTGGGACAGACTGGTATTGACCACTCTTCCCAGCAGCACTTGGCCAAAATATGTGTTGAGGCCCATTGCAGGCGTTCCAAGCACAGAGGACCTGGGGGGGGGGGGGGGGTGAGCATCCCCTCAGTCCATGTTTTCGGGGACCAGGCACCTCCGTGTTGCCCTCCTGGGTGGGTGGGGGGGTCTGTTGCTTCCCTCCTTGTCTGGGTGTACTGGTGGGGAGAATTGGGTGGCAGAGGGGCCGAGTGTGGCAATGGAAGGGGATGAAGGCTTCCCTCCTGGCTGTGATATGTTAAGGGTCTCTCATGCAGCGTTTCCTGGGAGGCAGCATCCAAGCCTGGCCCTGGGGAGTTGGGCTGCGTGCAGCTGAGCAGCAGCAGCAGCAGCAGAGCCACAAAACTGCTGCCCTGTGCAGCTTAGCTGGAGCTGTTTCCCCATCAAGGCACAGCACGTCAAAGCCTTCAGGAGCTGATGCAATGCTGCTGCTCACCTCCCCGAGCCAGCGAGCTCCGAGGAGGGACGTGCTGAGGCTGTGGGTTTCTTACCCGGGGTCCGATGCTTTGGCTCGACACAGAGCAGTGCTGCAGTCTGGGATCTGCTCCTGTGCATGGCCAGGCAGGTACCAGTGCTGCCGGTGGGCTTTGTGCCCGGCATCGCAGCCTGGCTGCTGGTGCAGCGGGTGTGTTAATTGTAGGTGTGATGGATGGAGTCGTTTGGGACCAAAAGGCATCCTGAGGCGGTTTCTGACTTCCAAGTTCCTGGTGTTTTGGAAGAGCTTGACGTGCCCAGGATAGGCTTGGATCCTGCTGGTTGTTATCTAATGGTGCCTGGTAATCACAGCTCTGGGCTTCTATTTCTGGTTCTGCCTCTTGAGTCACGATGTGCCCTTGGAAAAGACCTTTGTGCCTTGAGGCTCGTCTGCATGAAAACACTGCAGTTGTTTGACTTCAATCACTTCTCAAACACTTTTGGTTTGGTCGAGGCAAAACTTTGGCTCTACGGGTGTCTTGTGGCGTATTAACGTGAGCTGCATCTTGAAGGCAGTTCACACGACTAAGAGCATCCTGCTGATGCTCGAGATGAGCCTAACAAGTGGGTTGGTGTTCATATACCGAGGCTAGACCTGTATTCACCTTGTCAGCAGAAGGGTTAATTCCCCAGCAGCAAGGCCTTGCATGAATACTCCGTGATGGTCTTGGCAGGCACCAGGGCATTGCTGGGTCTGGTGGGGACGGGGAGCTTGGGAGAGGGGGGGGGTTTACTTTCCATTTAAGATAATAACCCAAAATAACAAACCAGGTTTGCAGCCGTAGTGATTGTGGTGGAGAAACAAGGGCTGTATAAAAGCAAGGTGATAGGTGGGTGGGAGAGGGGAGAAAAGAGCCGCCGAGGACTTTGATCCCAATAAAAGGAGTGCTGGGACAAAAGCTGCTTTGTCCCCATTTCTTCCACCCTTCCCATTATCTGCTCCTGTCGGTGCTGTCAGAAACGCTTCCCCTTCCAGCAAGGTGGATCCTCACCAGGTCTAACTTCCCTCCCCAGGGGTATCCCCACCTGGGGCTGGGGTGCATGGTGCTGGGGGATCGTCTCCAGGGTGGGATGAAGCTGCTTGTGCTGCTGCTGTGCCAAGTGCGTGCCCTGCTCTGAAGCGCATCCCTGCTTTGCCTGCATCTCTCCTGTCCCCATCCGGTCCCCACATCCTGGTTGTGTGAGCCCAGTGCTGCCCTGGGAGGGGGTCCCACGTCTCTAACTCATATAGGGGTATTGCCAAGAGCCGCAGCTCCGAGCATCCTCAGCACTTAGAATCATAAAATAGAATCATAGAACCAACTAGGTTGGAAAAGACCTTCAAGACCATCAAGTCCAGCCATCAGATTTGATGATCTTAAAGGTCTTTTCCAACCTACTTGATTCTCTGATCCTATTCTATCCCCTAACCCACCGGAAGGAAGCTCCCAGGCTCTGCAGCGTGCTGGGCTGTAAGTGATGCCAGCTCCTGTCACTCGCTGTAGCACATTGACTTGACGCCGATGGAAACACCGTGAAGAAGCAACAGAGGGAGGTGGCCAAGGCAGGGAAGGGGGATTGGAAGATCCCTTTATAAATGAACATCATCCTGGCTTCCAGCACCGGCTCCCAGGGCAGCAGCCTCACCAACACCTGGGACATGGGCACACCATTGACTCCAGGAGCGATGCTGGGCTGCCATCCCGTTCCCTGCTTTGGTTTGCTTCGCTTCCCTTCCTTTGCACCCCAGTCTGCATTCAGTGCCCGTCACCGTCCCTGCCTGCTTGCATGATCCTGCTCCCCCTTCGCCAGCCCTTCGCAGCGTGAAACTTAAGGAACCCGTTGGGAGGGGACTTGAAGCAGAAACGAGAGCGGGTTTAATGTGGCCGCTTAAAGTGAACAATTCTCAGGAGGAAAGCAAAAGTCAAAGCGGAATCTTAATGTTCTTTTTTGTTTTCTTTTGTTTTGTTCTTGGATTTCTTTCGTTAGCAACCCAACTACTGGAGCTTTAAGGTCAGTATTCCTGATTTTCCATGCTTCTCTTTGAAACGCATGCACTTTTCCATCCTCGCCTTGTCCCTGTCTCTCTGTGTGTGTATGGGGGGGGGGGGAGCTCGGGTGTTTTGTTAAGGGATTCTGTGCCAAAGTAGTTTGTCCTCAGCTCAGCAGCAATTTAAGCTCATGAGATGGATCTTTAGGCTGCTGGGACAGGTTGTGGTATAGATACAAACCTGCTCTCTGGGAGGGGTGATGTGCGTCCTGCCCTCCTTCAGCCCACTATCACCCCACGGTCAAACCCTGCTGCTTTGGAGTTGTTTGATGGCAGAAGAAACCTTAATGCTGGGAAAAGGACAGGCTGGTGGTGCTGAGAGCTGTGGGAAGGGAAGGGGCAGCTCGGTCCTGCGTTGGCCATCACATCTCTGTGTCCATCCTCTGCTCTGTTGTTTGGGTGTTACGGTACCAGCCTGTTCGTCAGCAGGCTGCAGGAGAAGCAGAATAGAGAAATCCCAGCCTGGTCTGGGTGGGAAAGGACCTTAAAGCTCATCCAGCTCCAACCCCTGCCACGGGCAGGGACCCCTTCCACTGGAGCAGCTTGCTCCAAGCCCCCGTGTCCTTGAACACGGCCAGGGATGGGGCATCCACAGCTTCTCTGGGCACCCTGTGCCAGCGCCTCAGCACCCTCCCAGGGAAGAGCTTCTGCCTAAGAGCTCATCTCAGTCTCCCCTCTGGCAGGTTCAAGCCATTCCCCTTGGCCTGTCCCTACATCCCTTGTCCCAAGCCCCTCTCCAGCTTTCCTGCAGCCCCTTTAGGCACTGGAGCTGCTCTCAGGTCTCCCCTTCAGGAGCCTTCTCTTCTCCAGGCTGCCCCAGCCCTCAGTCATTAGCGTTTCCTTTATAGCACTGGGATCTTTGTGCTTAAACCCACCTCTCCCAGGCTACCCAAAGGGCACCATGGCAGGAGCCTGTTGGCAGCAGCAAGGCTCTGATTCCTGCCAGCACCTTGCAAACAGTTACCCCATTGTCTGGCAGGGGGAATGCGCCGTCCTCCCCTTGCCCTTCCTCCCTCCTGCTCGCCGGGGGATGCGGTGGCAACACTTCAAGGCCAGGCGTGTTGCTGGATGACCTTGGCGCGTTATCCCTGGTGGGTTTGCTTTTCCAGCGTGGAAAATAACCAAACCCAGGCTCTTGGATGGCAGCGGCGAGCGGAGGAGCTGTAAAATGCAGGATATGTGCACTCGCTCCGGGTTTTCATCCCCGACGGACTCGCGGTGGCAAAGGGGTGCGAGCAGCAGCTCCCCGAGGGCTCAGCTGTCTGAGTTCTCACTGACCGTGTGCTCCCGGCGACAATTCCCGACGCTGGGAATGGGGGAAGGTGCCAAAGCCTTAATTTTATTGGATTTCTTTCTTTCTTTTCGTAAGTAAGACGTAAAATGGGGACAAACTTTAGGGGTTCGTGCACCCCAGTGGGGTTCTCTTTGGCGGCAGCCACAGGGGTTTGCATCCACAGAGATTGGGGTCTGTTTTCCCACCCAAGCTTGGAAGTGCCTTGCATTGCAAGGGGAGCATCCTGCCTGGATGTGTGCACAGTGGGAATGTGTTATGGGATAAATCCCAGCAGAGGGAGGCCGGCAGCTGCCTGACCCCATAACAAGTGGGGCATGAGGCAGAGGCAGCTGAGGATGCTTGTCATGGGGAGAGCCCTGCGGGGATGCTGAGCCCACAGGCAGGTGCTGAGGGCTTCCTTGAGGCCACTGCAGCCATCTGCATCCCCTGGGGTCTTGTGGAGCTGCAGGCTTGGCCTTCAGCTGGGAAGCTGCAATCTCAGATAAGAAAGCTTTAGAGGTTCCCTGTGTGTGCCACCCATCACTGCTGGGGATGCAAACTCAACCCTTCCCCATCCCTTCTCCAAAGAGGGGGGCTGCAGCCAGCGCCCCAGCTGATGGGGGTTGGAGGGGATTAGATGGTGAGAAGGACTGTGCCAAATTCCTAGGGACACCCAGGGATGTGGCTGATGGATTCCCAGGGCAGAACCTGCTCTCCGCCTGCCCTGGCATCCCCATCTGCAGTAGCAGGTGCTGGTGGGGATGTGGGGCTCTTCTGGGGCTCTCCAGGCACGTGATTTGGGGAAGGGGGGCTCTGCATTGCTGTGTTCATCTGTTGTGGCTCTCTGATGATGGGCAGATGTCGTTGTAGAGGGGGTCCAAGCAACCACGCTGTCCCCAGCCCTTTCCATCCTCTGCATCCCTTCGTGTCAGCAGGTCCTGCCACAGCCTCTGCCCTGCTCCATCCTCCTGCCCCAGCGCATCCTTAGGGTTTCTGCACTTGCCTCTAGATGGAGCCAGCCCTGCTCAGCTCATGGAAGTCCCTTCCCCTCGCATGGAGCCATTGATCCTGCTGCTCCATGGCCATTGTCACGCTGCTGCTTGTCCCTGAGTCCCCAGGCAGACGCCCGAGTTCCTCGGCCAGGACAACCTGGTACCCAGCCGCCTTCCCATCACCTAAACCACATCCCAGCTCGCAGCCCCCATCCCTGCCAATTTGGGGTTGTTCAAAACCGTGCTCTGGGTGTCAGCACCTCCAGGGCAGGAGCATCTCAGCCCTGGGGGCTTGGGGGGCTCCAGGGACTCATCCAGGGGAGAAAATCGTTTCCTAGGGATGCAGCAAAGAGAGGCAGTACCGAGGGCTGGGGGCTCCTGCTGTGCTAACACAGCGGTGGGCTGGCTCCTTGCTGTCACTTATGGGCTGGAGGAGGGATGAGAAGAACAGAAGGCAGTTTCTTGGAATCTCTCCTTTGGTGCTAGGGCTTTAAAAGAACATAAAAGGGACTAAAGCGAAAGGTAATGGGGAAAAGAATGGCTGGGATGTGGGAAGGGGAAAGCAGGAGAGGGGACACAGGACACCTTTGTGGGGGACCCACAGTGTGCTGGCCCTGCCCAGCAGCACTCAGGCTGCAGCAGCTGGGGCAGGGCATGGAGCTTCCCAGGAATGCCATGTCTCCTTAGTGGGAAGCCATTTCCATCCCACAGCAGGCTGGGACTCGAGGCGTTTCCCGACCTGGTATTACAGGCAGGCAGTGGTATTTACTTGTAGGAGACAAGCAAATGCCAGGCAGGCTTAGCTCCTGTATCCTGCTGCTCCTGCACCAGCCCTCTTCCCTGTAGCCTTGGCATCCACCGTGCTCTGTGGGACTGGCATTTACCAGCTCTGTTTTGTTGCCCACAGGAGGAGGGGTTTGGGCTGTAAACCTCTGCTTTTGGTTTTCTGCCCTGTCCACGGGAGCTGCTCTGGGTTATCTGTTGATCCTGGGTGTTGCCGTGATTTATTGTCTCAGCAGGGATGGCAGCAGCATCCTTAGTGTAGGAATGGGAGAACCGAGGTGCAGTGGGACTAGGCGACACCCTTGAACACATTCAAGGCCAGGCTGGATGTGGTTCTGAGCAACCTCATATACCTGGGGGATGTCCCTGCTCGTTGCAGGGGCTTTGGACTGGATGAGCTTTGAAGGTCCCTTCCAACCCAAACCATTCTATGATTCTACGATTCTATACTCAGGAGAGATGCATCAGAGGGACCTGCAGCCATACCTGGGCTGATATCCCAGATCTGGGCTCTTTAACCTTCAGATGAAGTTATCAATGGGGTTATTTTCCCCCTCAAACCAGCCCCTTCAAGCCTTTTCCCCCCACCAGAGGCACCGCATGTGTTAACCACAGCCCGGTCTCCCTGTATCCAGCTGTTAAAGCAAATCATGCCTGGGATGCCAAAGAGCTGAGCCTTGTCACCTGTCACCACGAAGTCCTCGTCACTAATGCTGCTAACCCGTGTCCCTGCTGGTTTCCAGCCTGTTCCAGCTCCCATCCCTTGGTGGCTGCATCCTGGTGATCCCCAACAAGGGCTTGTCCCTTCTTTCCCCGCTCCCCATCCCCTTTCTGCTGCTTTCCCACACCCGGCTTTGCTTCCTTCCCGCCAGCATCCCTGAAGGATGCAGTAATTTGCTTATTTTGGAAGATGCTCTCACACAAGGCAGCGTGGCCAGAGAGCAGGGATGGAGCACAGCCGCTGTGAGGAGCGGGATGAACGTCCAGGGATGGAGGCAGGACCCCTACCACATAACCCATCTCCTGCAACCACCTCAGCCTCAGGGGATGTGCTGCATCAGGCTTGTTTCTGGTCCCCCCCAGGATGCTCTCCGTATGGATGCCAGGCTGGAAATGCCTGTTTGAGGCACGGAGAAAACAACCCCAGGAACAAAAGCACATCTGCCTTTGTTAGGGGGTTAATGATTACCCATCCCAAGGGAGCCAAGGTTGGACCCAGTGCTGGGAGGTGAGGACGAGTGGGCACAGAGACTTCCTTCACTAGGGCTGGGCCCAGCTCGCAGCCCCGCTGCTCGGGATGGATCGGGATGGAGAGGGACCACCACCGTGGCAACCATCAGCCGTCAATATTCATGAGGCTGCAGAGGATCCAGGCTTTGAAATATTCATCAGGCAGGAGGCTGATGGTGCCAGCAGGAAGGGGAAAGACTGCAGAGAGGGGACAAGCAGCCACCCGTGTCCTCCACGGAGCTGGCAGGGGCATGTCTGAGGGCAAAAGGGTGTTTTCTGCTTCGGCATACAACATCCAAGGGTCGGGTTCTAGCTCATCACCTTCAGAGGCTGTGCTTTGCAGGGCAGGATGCTGGTGTCAGGAGGTGCTTGCTGTAGGAGCACCCTGTTTCACCCATGTCACCCATACGCGGGGCCTGTTGCAGGGTACTGAGCACCCACCCAAGCTCCCGCTCACATCTGGCTGCCGGTAGCGGGCTGTGCACATCTGGCGGGGAAGGCCCCTTGCTTTAGTCAAGGGGTCTGGTTTGAAAAAGCCTAATCCGATTTTAACGCTAATCCTGTTAACATTGAGATCAGGATTAATTCTGGGTTAATCGGGATAATCCTGACAAAATGGTGAGCATTAGACGTGGGATGAATTATTGCTGCCGTGAGGGGGAACGCTTGGAATTCAGTGGGCAAG